GGGGCTTCGTCAGGACGTGCGGGCTTCCGGGTGTAGGATATATTTAACCTAGATCCCCACCTGTCGGCCATCAGGTAATCAGACCTTACTTTTGTTAGTTGGTCTAAGGTCTCTTGAAATTTGAAAGACCATCGTCAGTGTATCAAGTCGTTTCAAACGTTTTTTGAAAAAGACTTACACATAAAAACCTTTTCACATCTAGTATGTCTTAATAATTAATTTATTTCGTAGTCTAGGGTAGTCTATAGAGCACTGATCTCCAGGAGTAAAACAATCCCAGTTTTTTGTGTCTGTAATACACCTACTCTGCTTTCAATGCGGAAACCATTGAGTGTTACATTATTATTTATTACAGGGATTTATATAGTGCTGATCTATAATACACCTCCTCTGCTTTCAAGGTGGAAACCATTGACAGGGTCATTCACAAAAGGGTGAAGAGTTTGGAGAAGTGAACATTCTAGGGCAACATAGTTGAACTGGAGAGTTTTTCCAAATCAGCTATTTTGGCCTAGATTGTTCAGTTCTTCAAACTCTTCATATCTTCTTGTGAATAAAGTGTTACACTCTTATTTATGTAGTGCTGAGAATTTACACAGCACTTTACATACTGCCCTCAAGGAGCTAACAATCTAAGGTTTCTATCTCACATGCATATAGGGTCAATTAGCCAACCAGCATGTCTTTGGAATTGGAGGAGGAAACTCACACAAGCACAGGGAGAACATGCATGCCAAGAGTGTCCTGACCAGGATTTGAACTGGGGAGCCCTAGTACTGCAAGGCAAAAGTGCTAACCACTGAGCCACTATGCTGCCGCATTACTCAGGCTGTTTACTATGCTATTATCCCCCATGAGAATAGATAGAACAGTTATAATGGCACCTGTGTCAGTTTTAAGCCCTTGTATGCCATTCTTACAGTCAGGGCTGGATTAAGATAGGGAGCTAGCTCCAAGCCCACCACTGAAAATAGGCCCTGACAGCCCGGATTGCCTTAGTATGCCCAATAGCAATTCAGGTCGGCCGGGCTGAGCACAATCAGGCATATTAGGCAGCCATTCGCCTCATTGGGCCCCAGCGAGGAGCGAGCAGTCGCCTAATTAGAGAGCTGCCTCTGCTGCTTCTCGTCCGACAGCACCAGGCCCATGATGCTGTTAATCCGGCCCTGCTTACAGTGCTTATCTTCCTGATGAACTGAGCAGTTGAACAATAAGTCCCTGTATACTGCACACTTGATATGTATATTTGTTTGATCTGGATTAATTATTGAAAAAATGTTTGAGTTTAGTACTATTTTAAACATGGCCACATCTAGTTATTTGCTAGGCTCCTCAGCTCCAGCTAGTGTGTCAAAATGTGGTATTACATTACAAACGTTTGACCTGAAAAGAAAATATACCTAATAACGTTTTGTTTTTGCATCTATTTGCACAGAACAAGCGTTCGGAACGAATCTCAGAGCGAATGGCTCTGCAAGTTGGTTTTAAAAGAAAAAAAACACAAAGTGTGAACGAGCCCTCAGGGGTGAGTGTAAATGTGCTCCCTATACTCTGAAGTTCCAGCTATTTGACTTGGCTCCAGCACTGGCTAGGAAGGGGTAGGCACATCACCGAGCTTGCTGCAAGACTTCAGTATTAGGTTATTTCCATCTTGGTACACAGTTTCTTTAAGCTGGCCTGATGTTTGTAACAAGCACTGGTTTACTGAGCTGCCCTTTAGTAAAGCACTCCCAGGATCTTACCCACCCCCCATCTATTTTAGACTTTCCCAGCCTACAATCAGTGCCGGTACAGACTCCCCCCAATGCAGAACGGGCAGTGTGCGCGTGCGCACACCGGCCCGTAGACCGTACAGTAGAAACGGTCGCACGTCTTAGTTCACACTGCTCGATTCTCGTACGATCGCGGGATTTCGCCCGACTCTCGTACGAGAATCGAGCAGTTTATGGGCACCTTTAGAGTCCTTATGGTGAAATCTGTAGCAGATCATTCTGACTGCAGCCAGAAAGAGAAAATCTAATGCAGGGGTAGGCAACTTTGGCACTCCGGCTGCTGTAGAACTACAAGTCCCATAAGGAATTGCAAGATTCAGCTGCTGGCATGACTCCCAAAGGCATGCTAGGATTTTTAATGTCACCACAGCTGGAAGGCCTGTGGTTGCCTATCCCTGATCTAATGGGTGCGGGCAGTTTTTTGTCATGACCAAAACATATCATTCTTGATCTCTCCCTCTCAAAATGCTGTCATGGTGATCCACTGGCTTCAATACTCTGAGCCACTAACTTACAGCAAGCATGCAGATCAAATGTTCTGACTTCACTTGCTGCATGTTTCAGGGGATGTGACAGAAAGCCCTGAATCCGAAGACAGCTGGGCAACTCACATTTTAAGATGGTCAGGAGCTACAGTTTATGTTTCTCCTATGTCAGGTTCCCTTTAATCAGACACAAGCTTTGGGCATGCTTAGACTTGCAGTTCCCCAACAGTTCATGAACATTGCACAACCAGAGAGAACAAGAGAGCAGCCAATGAGAAGAAGACAAGCGAGCTTTAGCCAAAACTTTATACCTCATGCCAGACGCAAATCAATAGCATGTACATTGTATCAAATTGAAGACAAAAAAAAAGAATATACAACATACAGGCTTTTAAAGTAAGGTAGTGCATTCAGTGCATATGCAGTCTATCACTCATAGCAACCAATCAGCTTCCATCTTTCAATTGAAATACAAATTCTAGTTGATTGCTATGGGTTACAGCCCTCTGCCCTATTAAAAAAAAGCCCCACAGTTTAGCAATTCAATATAGAAACATATATCTGGATAGAGGTGATCTAAGCTTCCCTTTTTACATTAAAATCACCATGGCAATGAAACAATTAGTATCCCAGTAGACCTCCCCCGCCCCTCCCTCCCCAGCTTCTGTAATCTGCCCCAGTGCCCTGTATGTCACCCTACAGGTTTACCCAGTGAAGTAGTACATCGAATGAATTGCAAAGTACTGTAACCCAGAGCAACCAATCAGCTTCACTTTAAGTGCGGCCAGTTTGGCGCGGGAAGCTGAACTTTGCACACTGCTCTTTCTTCTACGAAAGAAGCCCATTAAACTCTCATTGAACTGCAGGTGCAAGCTATAAATCGTTTTCTTCACTGCTATCGTATTCCTATATGAGGCACCAGTACCTAAGGAAAACATTTTCTTGTTTATCCTTCAATAATGAATTTCCTGAAAAGATTGACATTTATCACCGAATCACATATACAGATATTAGCGATCATATCAACAATCTTAAACTCTGTAGTAAAAAAAAGTGTCTTAGTACAATAGTCAAAGTATACATATAAAACCAAAGGCAAAACCTTTTTTTAAATTATTATTAGGCATGCACCGATTCCGATACTAGTATCGGTATCGGTGCCGATACCGAGTATTTGGGTGAGTACTCGTACTCGTCCAAATGCTCCGATACCTAGCACGAGTACTTCCTGTATCAGGAAGACCGGCAGCGCATCATTACACGCTGCCCCGTTTCCTGATTGGCCAGGAAACGGCTCCATGCTCTCTCGTCACTTGTGATGAGGGAGCATGGAGCCGACTTTCCGGCCAATCAGGAAGCCGGGTAGCGTGCAATGACGCGCTGCCTGGCTTCCCGATTGGTCAGGAAGCCAGCAAATTCCAAACCCGGGCGCCGTGTAATGACGCAGCGCCCGGCATTGATTGGCCGGGAAGCCGGCGTCATGCTCCCTCGTCATCTCATGAATCATAATATTAAGAAAGTGACCTTAAAGCATTAGTTTGTATTGCTTTAGAAAAAATGTGACCCGCCCCTTTAAGAAAAAGTATCGGTAATTGGTATCGGCGAGTACTTGATCAAAAGTATCGGTACTCGTACTCGGTCTTAAAAAAGTGGTATCGGTGCATCCCTAATTATTATTATTATTAGTTGGATAGAGTGGAGAGGATTTAGAACTTCTGTCAGTTTTTTTTCATGCAGTTGATGGCCCCATTAGGGAGATTCCAATTGTCCTGATCACCAATGTCATGTGAAGGTTAGAGTAAATTCAACATTTTGAGTTGTCACCCTAACATGAATAGAGGAGAAAACTTCCAATGGGGATACTTGTTCCCATAACAACTGTCTAGGGGATTTCCCTCACATTGGAAATATATCCATTTACTTCCTATTACGTGTACAGTACAGGAAGTTAAAGGAAATGTCTCTAATGAGACATATATGTCTAAAGATGTCCCTTACACTGAATAGATATCCTCTAACTTTCTATTAAGTCTACAGAACAGCTAATGAGGGGAAATCTCTCTAATAAGGCATGTCTAAGGATTTCCCTGATATTGGATAGATATTCTTACTTCCTGTTAAGTCTACAGGATAGGAAGTAAAAGGAAAGTTCTCTAATGAGGCATACATTGCTAAATATGTCCTTTACTTTGGTTGGATATCTTCTAACTTCCTATTGAGCCTACAGGACAGGAAATCTCTCTAAGGAGACATACATGTGTAAGGATTTCCCCCACAGTGGATAGATATCATCTCAGTTTCCATTGAGTATACAGGACAGAAAGTGAAGGGGAACCTCCCCAGTGAGACACCGATAGCTAAAATACAACTGACAGTGGTGTTAACCCTCCCCTACTGTATCCAAAATTAAATTTAGAAAAAGGTTTTGGCTTTAGATATACTTCAATGCATCTTATCTTCTTCCTTCACCTGTCTGCAATCGACCTCTGTGTACTTGTTGGGTTTTTACAAAATGGATTATATCCCCCTCAAAAAAAGTTTACTGTGGTCCACCTGCTGCTTCGAATGTCACATTCCAAATACTCACTGACAAGAAGGAGTGTTATCAGTATTCTTCTAAACATTGTCAATGACGACTGCATGTACAGTTCACTCCAGTCGTGCTGCCATACTGTTCCATCACTTTCAAATTCCATAGAGTTTGAAGCTGCAAGCTTTAGGAGTCCGCAGCACGAGAGAATTACAGAAAGATGGCCTTTTTGTTGAGTCGTATTAGATCGCCATCACATGACATCAGACATATTGACTTTTTGAGTACAAACTTGAACTTTTCCTGATGATTCCATCACGTGGGGTGTTAGACACGGTTTTTGCAGGCATGTTATAGGTATATTTCCTCTCCACGGGTGAGCAAAAGCAACACAAGATGGCACCCCCTGCTATAAGAGCCAAAGCCGCGGCCCAGCCCATATAAATGGCGTCCCCTAACTCCCTCTTCTGAGCCGCATTGACGAGAGGGTTGTAGAAGTCTCTGATGATACTGTTGGCCGTCCATGATACCGGGATCAGAACGATGATGCCGGAAAGGATAAAAGTGATTCCGGAGACTAAGAGAATAATCCCTTTGGTGCGCTCACTGTCTCCAGCGCACTGCGTGCACTTCATGCCGATGATGGCGATGATGAAGGACACGAAAGACAGGCAGACTGCGATGCACATCAACGCTCTCCCCGCCTGCAAGTCCGGAGTCAGGGCCAGCAGAGAGTCGTATATTTTGCACTGCATCCTTATGTTTGCATGCCGGACGCAGTTCATCCACAGGCCTTCCCAGAGAGTTTCGAAGACAATGATGTTGTTCTCTATGAAGGCAGTCACCCGCCACTGTGGCATGCCCGTCACAGCACATGTCCCGATCAGGCCAATGCCGCACACGACCAATCCAGCTATTTGCAAGGCACCCTTATCCATCCTGCCTCAATGGCCCTGTGCTAGCAAATGCTGAGCCACAGCTCTCTCCCACCTTTGCAGCAAACCCAGCTCTCCTTGGAGAATACGGTTCAGCCTCAGCCACCTGTAACCAAGCAAAATCCAGCAAAGACTGGCTGCAATTTTATTCTGCTGCACAGTTTATAAAATGGAAATACCACCAAGAAGACTTGTTTGTCAGGTTCATCCAGTTTATGGACCAATTACATGATAGCGCAGAGGGGTGTGCTTAAACCAACAATGGATTCTTCATTTCAATAACTGGAACCTCTCTCCAGGCTCGTAGCCGTTTACTTTCTTGCACTACATCATGACACTTGACAGGGCAAACAGGTTGGAGTGAAGGAGGCAGGCTGCGTGCATGCAATTCCTCCACTGCTTCAATACACAGCAAGTATTTCAAGGAGATGGACGCCTTCCAAGAAAGCCAAGGCAAGAACGCTGTAAAAGAGAAAGGGGAGATGGTGATAAGTGACAAACAGGTCTCCGTGCCAGAGAAACCACATTCTTTTGTATTGTTGTGACCTGAATGGACAGACTGAGAGGTTTGAAGAAAAACAAGCGCACATACTAAAAACAAAATAACATTATGCAACCATTCTTATTATAGATCTGTGCTCTGAGAGAGAGAGAGAGAGAGAGAGAGAGAGAGAGAGAGAGAGAGAGAGAGAGATAATATATAGAAAGAAGGATAGATACCTGGGGTCCATCTTTTTTTTTTTTGTGTATTCATCTTGTATAAGTGAAGACTGATATAAACATCTAACTGGATGCTGGTGTGAACGGTTTTCTGTTGTATCATCATCTTATTATACAAGGCTGCAGCATGCTGTGTTGTGCACATAAACCAATTCACCTTCCCAGCAGGAAAGTGTCCCCTGCAATTACTTTTGATTGCTGGCACCTGAGCACCTCAAGCTAACTAGGTGACTCAATAGACCAGCATAACAACATTAGGAACCCTGCCACAGATTTATAGGCCATCAGCTACAGTGTCAGTTAACCGTAGGTCACCTGCAAGATTAGGATCTTCAACGATATTTATGACATGTTTCCATCCTAATTGCTATGAATAAAAATAGTGTTTAGTTCAGTGACACTCATCATCACGCCTCACTGTGTACATTTTCCCCACTTACGGGAACGTGTGCAGCTACCTTAATTAGCAACTTGTGCTAATCATACATGCATCAGTTTTTCATGCAACTGACTGCTCACTCTTTTTTCTTTAACTGATCGGATGTCAGAAATGATCATTCAAAACAATATGAACAGTAAACATGTCTGGACGAATCTGATAATTTTAAAGGTCAAAAGTGTATTAAAAAAGAAATAATTTAAAGGTTTTGGAATTGATCGGTTGCTCCACATCCTGCACGATGGACTTGGGCGATTTTCATGATTTAATTTACCTTCTAAAGTAAAATTTTAAAAAAGTTGAAAGTGATTAAAATGGTAATGAAAGCATTAAATTACTAGATCCAATCAGAATCTCAATGTTATAGTTCCATAGAACAAATTAATTTAGCTTGATAACTCATCCATTCATAGGTATGAATACCTATAAATAAAAGAGAATCTCAAAGTAAATGCAGGTTACGTAGGGTGTACACGGGTAGCTTTACGCACAAACATTCTTATGAATGTTCAATAATATTATCAATATTATCAGAGGCGATTGTTGCTCGAAATGATGACAGATAGCAGAGGAGCTAATGCAGTATTCTGAGACCTGCTGCTGTCATAATGAAAAAAAAAAAAAACAGACAGCATTGGAGTAAATAGCTAGTTTACTATTGACTGTTTCCATTTTTCAATAGTCAATAGCAGGCTGGCTATTGCACCTGCCCACTGCTGCTGTTGATCAGCAGAGGAGGACCTGATTTAGAACTTCATGTCCACCTCTGCTGATTGACAGCAGCAGAGGGCGGGTGCAATAGCCAGCCAACTATTGGCTATTGCAAATTGAAATAGTCAATAGCAATCTAACTATTCATTCCAATGCTGTCTGTTTTGTTTTCTTTGTCTCTGACGGCGGTCGGTGGCCCCGATGTCAGAATAAAAAAATTAAAACAACAGATAGCAGGGAAAGTGTGAAATGTTTATCTCTCCCGGGTGTCCAGGAGCCGCTATCTTATAGCGGGAGACTCCCGCAGTGTCCGGGAGAGTTGAGATGTCTGGGTAAAGTTCAAAGTGAACATCTGCGTTTTACTTTAGGAGAGCGTTATCCTCTTTTCAGCACTACATTGTAACACATGGCGGGGGGAAAACAATGGTTCACATAAATTGTTAGTGTAACATGAAGATAAGTTAAGTCAGGTTGATGAGGGTACAAATTAGCAGGTCAGGGACTTTTTCACAGGTTTGCGATCGCCAAAAAATTCAAATGAAATTGCGTCAAAGTGAAAGTAAATGCAAATGTCATCCAGAATATCCAACACTTTATTTCAGCCTGCAGATTAATCTGGGAATAGTTGTATTTATTTTTGGAATATATATATATATATATATATATATGTATAGTCACGGGGGGGGTCTGTATCTGGTCAGGGGACACCTGATCCAGACCTCCCTTGCAGATATACAGCAGCAGATAATTTCCAATAGTGATCCAATACTGGCTACATTCAGCCAGCAATAGATCCCTATACCAGTGATCTGCTGCTGCAGAGAACACCTCTGTCCCAGCCTCCATACACAGAAAAGTGCATTCTTTTGTGATTTCACTACTCTCACGATGTGCACGCTATGTGGAAGCATTCTGTTTACATTCGCTTCTACACTTCTATGGAGTGAGCTGAAAAAGCATCAGAAGACGAGGAGCTGATTGTTTCAGCTGCTGGGCTTAGAGCTGGGTCCCAGCTATTAGCAACATTCAACATTCTCAGTTATTGAGTGGAGGGCCCCCCAGGAGCCGTTGATAATAGACGCCATTTTAAAATGGTGCTGGGACAAATAGTCACTTTCCCAGCGATGTCTAAAACCGGCAGTTGGGACTCGAGTTGCTAAAAGCCTGCTGAATTTACTTTGCACATGATTAGATGGAAGAACAGGCAGTTTACCTGAACTACAAACCATACCTCCTAACATACTGAGATGGGAAGGAGGGGGCACCTTTTAGGACAGAATTTTTATAGACTTACCATTGCCACACCCCTTGATCACATAGAACATGATGAATTAAAAGACAAGAATGATCAGTTACCACTGCAATGCAGCAAAAGTTCTTTAAAAATAACAAGTGCAATAATTTAAAGGTTAAAGAAGTTTAGCGCAATAAAAGCAACTAAAGGCTCCTGTATGACAGGCTAAACAAGTCCAAAATCCAATTACTATGTGATGCACAAGTAAATACAAAACTTGCATTACCTTCCCCGACTGAGCCAAAACCTCATTCATGTGTGTCTCACATGCTCCCCCACCCATGCACTGCAGATCAAAGTGGGAGGGTTTCAGCAGCGGCAGTGGTTCTGTCAATCCAGAAAGCAATGGGCAGGGCTAGGTGTGGCCAGGTGCTAACAAGCTACAAGCTTGCAACAATGCTGATAACCATGTCCCCTGCATCATTTTTTTATCCAAGTGTTCTACAAGCAGTGTTGTACATAATAGGGAAAACTCTGCTTTGAAGTAAGGAGCAGTGCAGCATTGTTACCACCCCATCCTAGGAAGCTACATTGGGTGGAATTCACTGGAATGATCACCAGGTATTTGTGGGGCTTTTCAGGGACACTAAGAGAAAACTATAAGTGCAGGTTGGCAATAGTACATTTATGTATACAAATCAATGCCTAAGAGCTAAAAGGAGGATTTAGACTGTCCCTACAAATCCGAGACAGATGGGAGCTATAGTAAGAGAAAAAAAACATACTCCTTAAAAGGCCAGCTATTTTTTTGATAGGGAGGGTAAGAGTTAGAACCTCTAGCATGTTTTCATCATTGTCTGTGTCCCCATTTGGCCCGGCTATGAAAGTTTTTGTCTACAAGCTGAGTTCAGCTTTATCATATTGCATGTACATCAGCGTTTACCAGCGGCATGTCAGGGCTCTGGTCCTTTTATCAAGGGCCGCTACTGTGGTCATTATTGAAAGCACAGCTACCAGAAACATCATTGATGGGAGCTGCTGAATTGATGTAAAACTGCTGATAGAAAAGCTTCTTTTTTTTTTAAAGGGTATTTTAAGAACATAAAGAGCTATATAGTCAGGCCAGGAACAGCAGACGGAGGCGTCTGTGTAGGGCCAACATGACAGGGTCTTGAAGAGGCCAACAGGGTTTAGCTAGGGTTAAATTATTATCTTAAGGGATTTTGGGTGGTGTCACTTACCTGATTGGTCAGGGTCCCGGGAGGAGGAGGAGGAGGATAGGTGGCCTTTTGGGAAGGAAAAGGTCAGTCTCGGTGGGGTCATCAGCGTGGAAGCAGCTTCCCACCCTCCCGCCCCATTGGTCATATTTGATTTGTTGCCTTGTGTTTCTCTTATTTCTACTTTGTCCTTTTTTCCTTCTGTTTTATCGTGTTGTCTTGTCACTGCAGCCGGGCAGGGTATTAGGGTCCTTGAGGTGCAACATATTTGCTTGAGGTTTAAGTGACAGTGGGGAGCCATCTTTGGTATGGCATCCCTGTCTTAACGGGTCCATCACTAGTTACTTAGTATCTGATGTAAGATTACAAGTCCCCGAGGCGGTGTTGTGCGGCTGGGGGCCGTGTGGGCAGATACTGGGTATTTTTGGTGATGGATATCACGTCAAGGACCTTAACTCCCGCGGTCAGTTAGTTTGTTACAATTTGTTACAATGGTTAAATTTGCCTTTGGCACTAAATAATAAAAATGGCTGCTGTGGCCACTAAAAATCCAAGACCTGTGTCGTGTCATTCATTAATAGAGTTATTATTGAATTTAGTTGTTGGAGGTTATTTGACCAACAGGAGCCGTATACAATGCCCTTGTCATGTTGCTATGAGGACGCTGTTGACCTTCATGAATTAAATCTATAGGGTAGATCTGAATTCTTAGTAAAGGTTGCTTTGCATTTTCTTGCATTTTTTCTCCTAATGCAACCAGTCCTATTCAGTCTCACTCCATACTCCATCTGATCTTTTAGTTCTATTTTATCTCATTGGGAATGCATTGCAAACACACAGCAAGCACAGGGAACTCATTTTTGACATGTTTAACAAATTCACTTTTTTAGAGAAACAACTGTTGATCAAACACACCAAACACACCCTAAAGCTGAAGTGTGTGCTAACACTTTATTGGGGCATTAGCAAGGTACCAGTAAAGTTCCTCTAATGAAGTTTGCCCCACGGGTGGCTGCTACTTTTTTCTTGAAAAAAATGACTTCCATGCAGCCTCTTCCAGTAAGTCACCACAGAAGTTTTGGCGGTGAAATAAATAGTTGAAGCTGGAGCACAGAGATCACAGTGGGTTGCTTGCTCTGTAGCTCCTCCATTTATAAAATGTGTATTCTTTTCAATGG